TAGTCTCAGCGGGCGAGGAGCGGACGGGAGTAATAGCTGACTTTGAAATCTAACAACCCCACAGCGAGGGTAGGGAATTTTCCGGATGATGATGGATGCTTGTTTCAGGGATCCGAAACATTATATCGGTGCAGCCTCATTTAGAAAATATGGAAAGCACGAGTTTTGTCGATCACGATCCAACAAACTCCTGGGAAAACCCGGCTTTGTGTTTGAGCAGGTCGTAATTTAAAAGCGAATGCTGCTCTCATGTTGGATCCTGACCCGGACCACAAGTCAAAGCTGCGACTAAGTTCCGGACGCTTGGGGAGCGTGCCAGGCAGGAAGTGCCGTGCGCATCGTCTGGCGTCACCAGCGAACAGAGCCACGCAGTGGCGGCACTTCCACTGTCGGCACTTTTTCTCTGCTGCAACGGTGACCTCTACCTTCCCACCATAAAAGGTCGACACTCGCTTGGTTTCGCCTGGAGACACGGCCACGAGGTGTTTTTCCAGTTCGGTCATGACCAGCTTGTTGTCTCGCTCGTCGCCATGACGGCGCCCCGTGGTGCCAAGCCGAACACGAGAGGGAAGTGCTGTGAGCGGTTCAAGCTGTAATCTACTTTTGACTTACTGCGCCAGCAGTTACCACATTCACTCTAAGTTTCGGAGCCTTGAAATGTAGATTGGGAGCATGGAACTGCACTTCAATGCTTTGGAACCCAGGAGAAAGCTTGAGCATCAGCGAATGACTTGGGTCTTCGAAGCATGCAGAGGAAGTCTCATCTCGACTTTCCCAGAGTTGAAACAACATGCAGCCTGTCAGGAAGTGACTGGAAGTGACTTGCAGAACATATTGCTTGTTCGGAAGGGATAAGGAGGGCTGGCGCGTCTTTCCAAAGCCCCGAAACACCATGTCACAATGTTGCTAGTATGTTATTGATCCCATCCATAATTCCACGTTACACAAGTTAAAAATATCACGTCGTACTCGTAAAAAATATTACGTGCACGTGGCTTTCCGTTACACGTGCAGTTATAACGCATATAACGCGTGAAAAACCCTGCCTAGAAACGCACACTAAACCCTAAACCCGAACTATGCCCCAAAACCACACTAAACCCCAACACCCCCCCCCCCCTTGTGAAACTCCAGCTCGGGCAATGTCAAAAATGCGGATGTTGATGTGGAAGTTCTCACAACTCTTCAGACTGCGAACCTAGTAGCAAACATGCATCCTAAACCGGAACAATGCCTGCATCGTATTCCATGGTAGTTCCTGTATGGCTGTGTTCCAGAACCTACATAATACTTATCAAAAAGACACCAAATCCCAATTCTAATTGCTCCTGTAAAGGAACCCTGAGAGGAGCTTTTAGAGGAGCCTTTACAGGAACCCTGGAACAAGCCCTTATGGGGCAGACTCGGCTGGGGCCAGGGCGGTGAGTGCGGCAAAGGCTAAGTTCCAGCCACCCTGGTCGGTTTTTGGGCTCATTAAGGCCCTTGAAGGGAAGGGTTAAGGGAGTTCAGGGTTTCAGGGTCTAGTCCTCCTTAGCCTTAAACCCTAAACCCCGAACCTCAAAAAGTTGGGAACACTGATTTACCCTAAGGCCTGAACCCTAAACCTAAGGGCATGCGGATTTAGACCCTAAACCCGAAATCGTTCAAACTTTCTGGCTTCTACTTTAAAACCCCTTAAAGAGGCTCTCCCAGGGCTTAAGATTCCTTTAAAGAACCCCAAAAGCGCTTAAGGTTCATGTATCATATGGGGATTCATAGTATATATATATATATAAGGGTATGGGGCCCCTACTTATAAGGTTCATGGTCCCCCAGGTCGGTCTCCTTCTTTCCCTCTTCATCAAGAACATGCAACCCACACTCCTCTAATCTGCCAGCCTCGGTGGTCGCAGCAGGGTTCAGGGGCTATGAGAGACGGGACACTACGAGTGACCTCGATGTTTAAGTCGCACACCTAGCGCTAAACCGCTCATGGGGGCCTCAGCAGCCCTGGCAACTCGAATCGGTTTCTGGGGTACATGATGCTATAAACTCTAAACCCTAAACCGTGCATAATAGATACTTAGAATCGGGAGCCCCGACGGACAGTACCGATAATTCTTCAGGCCTCCATTTAAACCTACAACCTGAACCCCATACCCAGAGGTTAAGGATTGAGGATTTAGGATTCAGGATTTAGGGTTGAGGATTTAGGGTTTAGGGTTTGGGGTTTAAGGTTTGGGATTTAGGGTTTAAAGTCTGGGGTTTAGGGTTGTTGTAATACGTATAGTACCAAGATAGTAGAAACCTTCTAGAGTCCCTCAGAGTACCCTTTGCCGTTGACCAAAAATCTTCCAAAAGCCCTTCCTGAGTCTGGGGGCAGAACAATCGCAGCGGTCTCCATCAAGACTTCCTCTCGCTCCTTTGCTCGGCTTCGGGATAAGCATTAGGTTTTAGGGTTTTCGAGTTCAGGGTTTTAGGGTTTAGGGTTGGTTTCTGGTAGCTTGGGAAGTCTGGGGCTAAAGGTAGTTTAGGGATCTTTTGTAAATAATTGGGCTTCCTTCTTCTGGTAGCTTAAACTAAAAAACCCTTTAAAAAAGAACCCAGTTGAGAGCTCTAAGTTTAGGGTTGTAGGAGTTTAGGGCCAAGTTTAGGGTCCGGGGCGACCCAGGGTCGGGGAGGAGTCAATACGGGGCGTTCATACAGAACTCGGATTTGGGGTATATTATATTTCATGAACTCTACGTACAGGGACTCTATATATGTATACAATTGTATATATATATATATATATCAGTATATCTATATATATATATATAAGGGGATATCCTTGCTGAGTCTTCAGACTGTCGGGCTCATATCGTACGGACTGATAGGGTTCAGGCTCAGGGTTTTGGCATCGGGATCTAGAGAGCTCGGCATGCAACATTCCCTTGAAGCAGGTGTGACCATAAAACAGTGGATAAAAGACAAATATGTGTAGATGCATCTGTCTATATCTATATATCGGCATACATATAAACATATAATATGTGTGTAGAGAAAACAAATGAATAAATAAATAAGTGTATATATATATATATATACAGCGCATGCACGTGTATGTGTACATATATATATATATGTGTGTATGCATATAATATATGTTTTTATTTTGGGAGTCTTGTATCATAGAAGCACTTTGAAAGTCAGCTTGCGGCCGTCATTATCGGAGCCGCAGGCAAAAGCTAAACGTCGACACTTGACCTAACCCCCAAAAATTAAAAAAAAAACAGAAAAAAGAAAGAAAGATGACACACAACTCTGAACCCTAAACCCCACAACCCGAAACCCTCAAAACACACAAAGCCAGACTTCAAGTTCTGCCCGAAACACCTCGGCACAACCTTCAGTGAGCTCTGGAAATCGGATTGGGCGGTTTAGGGTTTAGGGCTTAATTAAGGGTTTAGGGTTGAGGGTTTGGGGCTAAAGTTTAGGCTGTAAGGGCTTAGGCTTCGCGGTCTGGGGGTCTTGGCTTTAAGGTTTAGGTCCATGCCAGGTTTTCCGCTTGGTTCCCGATTGATACAGTATAGCTATGTAAATTTGGCTGCCTGGGGGACCACATGAACCTTATAAGTAGGGGCCCAATACCCGTATACGATGAACCCCTTTATGGTATATGAACCTTAAAACCTAAACTCTAAACCCTGAACCTTAAACGATAAACCCTGAACCTTAAACCCTGAACCCTAAACCCTATAAGCCCTTTTGGGGCTCATTTCGTCCTTAAGGCGGCTGATGAATCTGCGAGTGTCTTTTTCCGTCGTTAAAACAAACCTGCAGTCTCTCAATACAGTAAAGTGCTGATATGGCAAGGCTACCCAAAAGAGTCATACCTTGAACTACCATAACCTACTTTTTCGTAGGTCCGTATTATAAACCCTAATTTCGAATTTATAGGGACCCTACTATTTTGGTCAAAATTCTACTCCTCCCGTATAGTCCGCAAAAGCACACCTGCCTGCAACCCTGTTGTCTAAGTGCTCCTGCTTTCCAAACACTTCGAGAGCCCACTAGCGCCTAATTAGGCGACAGTCCTTGAATCAAGGTTAGCAGCCCTATACCCTAAGACTCAAAATAGACCAAAAGCCCTATGTAGTATGGTCTTTGGGCCCAAACGCCTCAGAATATGAGTCCTTAGAGCCTTCGGGATAAAGTTTAAGACTACTCCTGAAATACAAGGGTAGTTCTCTAAATTAGGATCCCTTTTTAGGTCCCCAATATAGTACGGCACCCTTATAGCAAGGACCCTAAAACGGGACCTTACTTTAGAGAACTACCCAAAGGCAGACCGGGGCTCTCAAGTCAACAAGGGCCCTATCGATTTCCGATGCGCTGTTGGGACAACAAGGGACTACGACTGGCAATTAATCAGAAACCCTAAACCCTAAACCCTAAGAGGCCTATAGATTTCCGACGGTTTAGGGTTTAGGGTTTAGGGGACCACAAAGGAATACGACTGGCAAGTAATCAGAACCCTTTAAACCCAAAACCCCTGAACTCCATAGAGCCTCCCATTAGAAACCTCCACAATCGCCTGATTATCAAAGCACCCCTAACCAACCCTAACACCCACCACCCTATGCCCCAAACCGTAAAACCCTACAACCCTAAACCCGAAAACCTCTAAACCCTAAACCCTAAACCCTAAAACCCTAAAACCCTAAAACCTGAACCCCAACTCCTAGACCTCCAAAAGCCTAAACCCCCCAAAGCCACAGCTGTCTCAGCGCTCGGCCGATGTTGTTTCGAGCCCCAGGTGCAACAAGTCCTACGCTGCTTCTGCAGTCTAAGGCTTTAAGGTGTAGGGTTCAGGGTTCCGAGTGTAGGGTTTAGGGGTTTAGGGTTTAGGGTTTAGGGTTTAGGGTTGAGGGTTTAGGGGCAGTCTAAGGCTAGACCCAGGAGTAACCTAGGAATGAAAAGGGTGCCCTTTTTGGTTTTAAGGGGATTATAAGGGAGCCCCAACCCTAAAAAAGGAAATAAGGGCCTACTCCGGGTCCTAGAAGGCTTTAAGGTTTAGGGTTCAGGGTTCCGAGTGTAGGGTTTAGGTGTTTAGGGGTTTAGGATTTAGGGTTGAGGGTTTTAGGGGCAGTCTTGGTTTAGGGTCTAAGGCTAAGGCTTTAAGGTTTAGGGTTCAGTTCCGAGTGTTGCGGGCCTAGTGTTTGGGGTTTCGGTTTGAGGCTTTGTAAGGCCCTGGTCGACAGTTGAGCGGTTTAGGTCTTTGTTTGCTTACGCCCTATTATCTTCCGCAAGCGCATGTGAAGGCGGATTTTTGCTGGGCTCAGTCAAGGCTTCTTTGACGGGCACAGTGCTGCATATAGGTTCCTTAATAACTAGAGAAGGGTTTTTGGAGTAGATATGATACTATACTGGAACCCCTGAAATAGCTTTACTAACAGTACTAATTCCCTACTCTAAACCCTCAAACCTTAAACCTATACTGAACTTAGACCCCTAGCAAAAAATTATAATGTTAGCTGCTTCT